GCAGGTGTTCATGACCATATCCGTGGATGGAAAACAGAAAGAAAGCTCATGAGCCGAAGTCTAGTAAGCAGTAATGTACATCACCAATACGTGCATATAAATCAATCAAACTGGCAGACACCGCATACCATACACGTGACGAAACCCTGTCCCGTTCGCGACCTAGATCAACAAGTCAATTTCCGTCTCGTACGCGTCGGAAAGATTCTATGTATTATACACACGTCAAACCTTCCCATATATAGGAAGACATGACACAGTCAACACGACTCACATACTGTCGCGCGCGCGGGTGGCAGAGAGTCAACTACATTCCACAAGTCCATGGACAATTAGGGAACACGTGTGGCAGCTAGCTACACTGAGGAGGAAACATGTTCCCCCGTCCGAACTTTCACCCAGGAACTCTCACTACTTATCCACAAACTGTAAGTCACCTTTTGACTTATTCGATTGTTCGCACTCTATTTATTTTGGCAACTATTGGGGCACAGGTGATGATAGCCATAGTATAACTCAAAAGGTATACGCACTTATAACAGTTTTTACTGTGGTTGGCAGTGGTTTGCAGCGGCGAGTTATGTCATGTATAAAATAAATACAATGCGAAATGTGGAGCAAGTCAAAAGGAGAACTTGTCTATGAAAGTTCCTTGGTGAAAGTCTGCACGGGAGAAAGTGTTTTCTCCGCGTGTTCCGTAATTGTCCATGGATTTCAGTCGTTTGGTTAACTCCCTGCCCCCTCGCACGCGAGCGTACAAGACGGGAACTGACCTGTTGATCTAGGTTGCGACCGGAACAGAGTTTTGTCACATGATTTGTGCATTTGTGGAACAAAGGATTCGCGAGATCTAGTGAGCATGGATGCATCAGACAAATTAAGCGAAGTTGGTTGGAGCGACAGGAAAGTGACCGCTATAAACTTGCTTCTTACATGTCCTTGTTATTCATTTCTGTCGCACTATGTAGAAAAACTGCAGAAAACTTGCCGATACGCGATGAAAAATGCGGTACAACGTTTCTACTGAGCTGGGCAATGAAGTGCCTTGTGCAATACGGCACATGAGAAACACTTTAAAATGGTCAGGTAAGGGTAGGATCAGTGACCCCAGAGCCGTCTTTCTGTGATGATTTGGACCATCGGTTTCATACTGCGAACTCTGTTCTCTGTTCCAAGCTAGCCGTGAAAGCATTCATCGGTATGGAATCCAGTTGACTTGTGACAAATCCAAAAACATACAGCTAGAAGGTGTCCAGGAAACTCATGCCTACATTTCCAGCGCAGAACAGTCCGAAGCATCCATTTCGTACTACTCGAAACACTTGAGTCACTCAGATGAAACTATTTTAGTCAACATTGCTTGTTATTTGGTTGCTCAACTAATGTCGATTAATTTTCTTGTAATCTTCACTTCGAATGAAAATACGACCAAGCTGGATCTCATAGTTACTTTGGGTAACGCCTGATACTGATCAACGAAATGGAGGTGGAAAACAGTGGTGAAGTACAGTCATTTTTAAATTACTTTGGTTTTAACTAGAGATCCAATGGAATCGCTTTCCCATCATATTCTCCCACTGAATGTGCTGTGAAATAGTCATCTGTTGTTCCAGTTGGCTTTCGGTATCGCAAAGGAGTTTCGTGCCATATCATTCTACTCGGAAGGTCTACAACCCACGATCGGCTTCATCCTTCTTAGATTTCACCACATAGGCTAATTCCCAAGTTTCCATTAGCCCTGTGTCTACTTGAACACTAGATTGTACGTAAATAACGAACTACATGCTCCGGCAATTCAGTTTGGTGTTAAAAAGGACTCTATTGACTCTCTATTGGATTCGGTCAAAGAATATCACAGAGGAGAGTTTCGGTTGAGTCCCTCTCTCTCTCTCTCGCTGAGTGTTGCTCGAAGAAAGTTCATACAATTTTATGCTTCTGACGCGGACTCAAGGTCATTCAGATGAGTGCTGATCTACGCAGTGAAGCGATACAAAATGACTCTTCATTCGGGCAGTACACCAATCAACTGTTAGTTTCATCAGCCACTGTGATGTCCTGAACGCCCAAAGCACAACAACATTCCATAGTTCGAAAAATCTCCGGCATCCGAAATCTGCTTTTATTGTCTATGTGGGCAAAATATCAACATGGAGTTGGTCTATTTGACAACGGCTGTAGTAACTGCGCGGTTGATTCCGCAAGTTCCATCTCCTCGGTAGATACGGAAATAGCCCTGAAAACAGAAGCGGGATTCACATGAGACATTTTGGACAGAACAGCAATGTTTATTTCACTAGTGACCAGCCAACGTTGATTGCATCAAGATTCACAGTTCGCGACTGAGACAGCAAAGACAACTTAGTGACCTCCGGGGCAGTGACAACGAGAGGCAACCAAGTAAAGTACTCCCAGTGGTTCTCTAAAACTTCGCTGATTAGTCTTTCAGCCGAAATGAGAAGACACCCAATGAAAAGACTCACCCGACCGCGAACTGGTAACATCTCGAATGATGGCGAGGCGTTTGCAAGTCAGTTACCAAACTCAACCCGACTAACTACTAATGACACCGGAATTATGATCTAAGAAGGGGATCAGTGTTCATTCTGACTTGTGGAGCAAATACAGGTAAAATGTGTCATTTTATCTGTGAAAGCCGATCGGTAGATAAACTTGAATTCGAACCGTACAACAAACCGAGTGGCATAGGAATTTTAAAGGTTTGGTCCTAATCGAAGGGGATGTATCTTATAGATTGGAAATATAACTGCGTTGGTAGTATCCATGTTGTTAGTGGAATCGTTGTATACTCTGAAATTTGCCGGAGAAACAACGGAGTGCCAAACTGATGGTAGGTGAGAAACCAGTGTGCCACCGCACTTCTGTAATAAAAGCCACTGACCTTTTCTCCAAAACGTTTGCCCCAACTGTTTTTCACTATCCAGTAAGGCATTCTATGCTCCATGCCGTAGCCGACTGTGAGAACAGCGTGGTTCAGTTCAGCTGGATTGCACCATCTGGGACGCATGATTCCTCGTTTGTACAGCTGATGACAATCGAAATAAAAGAAAAACGGAATAATGGGGGAAGGGTTATCTGAATTTCACCAGGCATAATAAGATATTTGGCCTGTTGAACTATAAAGTGGGCTGACAGCCGTTCCAAGTTTGACCGGGCATTTACCATCCTGCATTGGAACCAGACAGAAGAAACATATTTTAAGTTTCATTGGCATTCAGCTGGTCCGCATGTACTTACTTCGTCGCTATCCCATCCATTTATTGCAACAATCAGTCACGACTGCCGATACCCATCCGTGATGGTTATTCCGATTACTAAAAAAATCGTTCAGCTGTAACACTTTCTCGGTACCTAGCTACCGTGCCACCCGGAGGAAGCACGAGGGCTGGGATACTGTCAGGTTGCCCAAGCCAGGACCAGGGGAAGTAGGGTGGCAGAGGTCGGGTTGGAACCACGGACCTTCCGGTCGGTGAATTCGCGCTCTAAACACTTGGGCCATCTCGCCCCCGACTACTATGGCACTTGAATGCGTTCACAGTACCCAGGGAACAAAACCCGAATAAAAATCCCTATAAAACGGTCGTCAGGTTAAAAACATTACTAGAATCAGCATTAGTGTGTGGTGAACGATGGTGGAGATAGCATATTTGATGTTGATAAGAGCGGAGTAGCATAGGAAAAAAAACCCTTCGGAAACTCCCCGAGTATGTATGTGAACTGAAACAGTGGCGGCAATCCGATAGAGATTCTTTGGCTTTGGTTACCAGGATAACAGGAATCAACATAGAATAAGTTATAACAGAAATATGAGGGTTAGACTTTGTGAAATGTTCAGAGGTTCAGAATATACAAAAGACCATAACATTAATATCAAATCAATAGGATAAAATAGAGTTATATATATACAACTAAGTGTGATATCGGAATCGAAACAAACCGAAAACCTGGTAACGCGAAAAGGGAGTAAAGCATCGAAGTGTCATCGGTAAAGGCAACTCTACTTCTCCGGACGATAGTGAGTGCTGTCCTGCCAGAAATCACACGTAACAAAGTTGACAGCAAGAGGTCCTACCGAGATCACTCACTTGGAGCAATACGGCATTCAAACCAGAAGAAAGTGGACCGATAGGCAACTCTTCCGGACGATAGTGAGTGCTGTCCTGCCAGAAATCACACGTAACAAAGTTGACAGCAAGAGGTCCTACCGAGATCACTCAACTCACGCAATACGGCATTCAAACCAGAAGAAAGTGGACCGATTTCCTTCAATGATTTCGCCTGTGTCTTTTCGCACCATGGCAAGCGAGTTGAACCGTTCACATAGGCTACGAACTTCGATTGGTCCATATAACATATTCCGTCCTTTCCTGTGTACGGGTAATCCGATCGGAGCTCCAACCCGCCCATCTCTTCAATTGCACTGTAAGTCTGTGGGGGATAACCGCCATCACATCCCTGATCGGAATGGTCGCAATCAATAAGTTGCTAGGTACAGAAATGAAAGCACAACGGTCACTTATTTCACAACGCAAATTCAGTTATTACGACGCACTAATCATACGATCTGTGAATGAACCTGGAGCGTTTAATCAAAATGGCGTTGTAGAAACATTATAAAAAATCATGGTACCACAACCTACCAGATTCAACAGAAAATACCCACTGAAATTCGCTCACCTGTTCACTGAGACCTAGTAGATCCCCAGTCTTACGGAACCACTGACCCTCGACATTCCCAATCACAGAAAATGCCCAGCACGAACCACAATCTCCTTGGTCCAATACTGGTCCGACTGCACCATGATCTCGCCAATCAAAATTGCTGTTATCCATCGTCACATCTTCTTGTGGGGTGGGATCCTCATTGACAATCGGCTCATCAAATCGCATCCTCAAATACCGCGTCTTGAACTCCTCACCTAGACAGAAAACAAGTCCACTCCACTTCCAGTCAGAACAGCTTACTGGTCAGGTCGGAAAATTGCGTTACACCATACTCCGCTGTCCCTTGTTCCATTGCCTGCAGTCTCTTGGCGCGCTCCAAGTTGTCTTTGAAAATTCTAAATCGAAGCTCATCATCTAAATCAGTCGAGTTCGGAGTCACAAAAAAATGTGCGCGCACCATCATTTGAATAGGTCTTCTTGTACTTCAGCTTGAACTCCTCGTATAGTGCCCGGGCATCGTCAGGCTCCTGAAATTCATCAAACATGTTCAACATTCACTGCTCAACTGATGAGATCGCACAATCAGATGCTAGCTTACAGTGCGCCATGCATATGAGGACAAGCACTGTCCATGTACAAATGAATGGGAAAGAACTCACGAATGGGGTAGTTCTGGCGAAGACAGACCAGATTGTTGTCACCAACACGCAACACACGAAAGGTCGCATCTCGTTGTGATGGGACCCTGCTGCTCTCTCCTTCCCGATTTATTCTCATACTCTGTATCAAAGTTCAAGTGAAAGATCTACGTGACACACAGAGATAGCATGACGAAAGTCCATGGGTTTAGTCGGATTTGAAAAATATGAGATATGAAAAATATGTGATAGGTGTTCTGCGCCGGAGGATGGAGCACGCCTCGAACTCAACTTTGGACCGCGTGAAGGTGCACTTGTAAAGCCGATTGCGTAGGCACAACTCCACTCACGCTCAAACTACACGTTCCTACATTGGGTCACTTTTTATCTGGAGGGTTATCAAACGAAAAACGTTCGAATCGTTGCTCTGACAGGGTTCATCAGCAGAACGTAGTCAACTTAACAAACCGGACTGATGCTTCAAAACCGGCCGAACTTTCAACGACGATCTCCAAAATGTCACAGAATACTTCGAAAACTTGACAGTCGTATATGGTACATAGGAACGTACTTCCATTGTTTTGAAAATGTTTCGTGCCTATTTATCGTTTCCAACAAGAAGGGGTTACGGGACAGTTCTAGTAAGGTGTCATGTTTGCATGGAATTTCAGACGCAAGTAGCATTGACTACTCTGCATTAATCTTCCCAGTGCCGTCCCCTAATGACCGGAGAATTTTGACGCCTTCTGAGTGAATACTTTCCGTTACCAGTTAGTTTCTGTATCTGATAGACTGTCAGACGACCAAAGCATTTACTTACCGTGTTTACTTGTATAAAGTGTGGATCCATATCTGCTGTACGTATAATACAGGCGTCCAATCTTCACTTCTGTCTGCAGCTGACTATCGGTGAGAGTGTGCATTCACATACACAATCGGACCACAGTAAGTACTCCTACGAAAGCATTTTCTAGGGGAAACCATTTGGAGATAAAGTGCTCTAAACAGTAACGAATCTTCCTACAATCACTGAAGTGCTCTTTCACCTTCAACATGGGAAACAATAGCTGAACGTGCTTGGAAAAAAACCACGTTGGTCAATACATCCTGCTTATACACCGTGGTCTCTCACCGAGATGGACTATCTGTGAGGCCCAACCAACGTGGTTGTTCCCATTACGCAGGGATTAACCGGTTCGCTGGATTTCTGTGACCACCAGGGGCTCTTTGGAGGGGAGTCGTTCATCTGCTTTGCTTCCTCGACGCTTCGGTAGTGTACATCTCTCACAAAATGAAGATTCAAATATCGATTTTAATCGCGAACATTATTCACCGGAGTAAAATCATTGTCCAGATGGTCCAAGTGACAGTCCAGTCCATCATGCCTTGAGATGTAGTTCTTCCAGCTACGGAATTTAGTCTCCTCAAACAAATCCGTCACGGGAAGATTATGTACGCATGCAGCGACGTAGGTCATATATGTTTCGCACATAATTATACCGAGGGTGGATTACAGCCCACTTGTCGTGCACCGGGCGATGTGTGTTCCGCGCCGGGGGATGCAGCTTTGCCTCACCGTCAACTTTGGACTCCGTGGACGTAAAATAATCGCATGTACGACACGTCAAATTTCGTTTAAGCTATTTTTCGCCTGACGTGTTCTTGGGTTTTAACCCAGGGTAAGTGACTAACAAACCGAATAGCCATGCATTGGATTAGGAGGGTCCAATTGTGTAACGGTTCTCAGGAGCAGTCGTTCTCTAGATTTCTCTGTGGGCGGGGATCCTCTCAAAATGAACGCCAAGGATAATACTTGTATACTGCTCACTCTCGTTGACTGATAAAACCGAAGCTGTTGATTCCCCCCTTTGAATCAATGGTGATCAAGGGTAACTTCCTTGTTTTCTGACTACCCATGAGTAACATGACTTACACCTGTTTATTATGACACTGTTTCATTTTCTTGCTGCTCGTTTTCCCCCCGCTTTGTTCCTACTTAAGATCTGCTTTTCCCTCAGTAAGTGATGTCAATATTTGCTGCCCGTCTGTCATTGCCTCAAGTTCACCTGTCGAGGCGAACTACTCCGACGGAATAGCGAGCTGACCGGGTTTCGAACCCGGATCCTCCGGACGGAAGACGGACGTGCTACCGACCACACCAGTCGGACGCCTGTGGCGTTGATTATCTTGTATTACCCACGTATCGCGCCTGCCAGATAACCCTTGCTGAGCTTTGTTTTAAACGGATGAAACCGCGCAATCTGACCTGTCACGCGACACGAACGGCTGCGTCGACGCCGACCGAAGGACAGTCCCTCATATCCCGAACGTACTGACTCCTGCGTCGTTACGGCCAATTCACACTGTCAGACTGCCCTATATGTATGTCTGAACATCGTTTGGTACTTACTTGCAGTTGCCCCTATAGAAATCCGTGCTGCGTCAGTGACTACTTCCGGCTCCTGCTGATTGCGTCATTGTTGATTGTACGTTTTCTTAATTCATGAGGCTTACTAATCCGTTTGTCTGTAGAGCCAGTTCCTGTCAGTCTACAATATATCGTCTGCTGCCCCCGTCTGACTGCCCTATTGACTACTGGCTACGAACTGCGTATAATCTAATAGTCGCAATCGTCCTGTGAGATCCTTAACCGTCCGGATCTTACAGAAACAGAGATATTGCCTCTCGCTTTCGTTGTGAAGAATTCCAAGAAAATGCTGCGAGTTCGGCAAGTTACCTACCGTTTCGACCACAAATCATTGGGACCAATCCACGGATCTCCATAAGTCAGCCCGGTCACTCTCGGCGCTCAGCTACTTTGCCTTTTGTGTCGAGGCGAACTACTCCGACGGAATAGCGAGCTGACCGGGTTTCGAACCCGGATCCTCCGGACGGAAGACGGACGTGCTACCGACCACACCAGTCGGACGCCTGTGGCGTTGATTATCTTGTATTACCCACTACCGACCACGTCGGACGCCTGTGGCGTTGATTATCTTGTATTACCCACGTATCGCGCCTGCCAGATAACCCTTGCTGAGCTTTGTTTTATTTAAATGAAACCGCGCAATCTGACCTGTCACGCGACACGAACGGCTGCGTCGACGCCGACCGAAGGACAGTCCCTCATATCCCGAACGTACTGACTCCTGCGTCGTTACGGCCAATTCACACTGTCAGACTGCCCTATATGTATGTCTGAACATCGTTTGGTACTTACTTGCAGTTGCCCCTATAGAAATCCGTGCTGCGTCAGTGACTACTTCCGGCTCCTGCTGATTGCGTCATTGTTGATTGTACGTTTTCTTAATTCATGAGGCTTACTAATCCGTTTGTCTGTAGAGCCAGTTCCTGTCAGTCTACAATATATCGTCTGCTGCCCCCGTCTGACTGCCCTATTGACTACTGGCTACGAAATGGGGATAATCTAAAA